TGAAATTACAGGTTTTCATTTTTTTTTTTTGCTCTCACCAGGAGGTGCGATTCTGCCTTAAAAAATTGGATTTTAAAGGCCTAGTCTCTATTTTAATCTGAAATACTGCAATAATTGAAAAATAATTAGAAAAAAAATTGTACTATTTTCAATGGGAAAAATGTATCATAATTATTGCATAAATATTCATTAGTACCATAAAATTATCTCAAAATACAAACGAAAAAAATATTATTGAACAAAAATATATTAGATTGATTTTACTGAAGAAAAAAAGAGTTACATTTCAGGTGTCTGGTCCCTTTTGACCGCGAAGACCATGAGTGTGACTCCCAAATGAGGCGCGCACAAGGGTTAAAAAAAAAGAAAAGAAATAAAACACGTTTATTCTGTGGCACTTAATAAATAATTAGGTGCCTATTTTGGTTTTCTATAGGAAACAATGGCCCCTTAAGTGATTTTTTTGTTACTGATTAAGGAAAAATGGTTAAATATTGGACAACATATTGTTAAATCTAATTAGTAATCAAAATAGTCATTGTATAACAGTTTTATTCTTCTTGCTATTACACCAGGGTTCATTTTTATGTCCTTTCCACATTTGTCTTTCACTTTTACTGAAAATGACACTATCTTACTTTAATTTTAGACCTGATGGAAGAGAACGAGGAGAGTGAAGAACTGAGTGAAGCTGAGGAGAAACATCATGTCAAAACTGGTGAAAAATCGAAGAGTCGAAGAAGAGTCCAAAAGTCTTTAACCTGCCCTCAGTGTGGAAAGAGTTTCTCACACAAACAAATTCAATTTCACATGAAAATCCACACTGGAGAGAAACCGCACACATGTGATCAATGTGGGAAGAGTTTCACACAAAAAACAGGACTTAAGGAACACATGAAAATCCACACTGGAGAGAAACCATATACATGTGATCAGTGTGGGAAGAGTTTCAGTAAGGCCAACACCTTTAAATTACATCTGCGTTATCATTCTGGAAAAAGACCATATAACTGTGATCAGTGCGGTAAAGATTTTTTTAGGACAGATGCCCTGAAGAACCACCTGAAAGTTCATACACGGGAGAAGCCTCACATTTGTTCTTTGTGTGGAAAGAGTTTTACTGAGCTGGCTGCTTTAAAAAAACACCAGAAAAGACACAGTGGTGTGAAGAATCATATGTGCTTTGATTGTGGGAATGTCTTTTTTGATAGTGCTCAACTGAGACGGCACCAGAGAACTCACACTGGAGAAAAACCTTACAAGTGTTCACACTGTGACAAGAGTTTCAGTCAGTCAGAACATCTGAAAACACACGAGAGGGTCCACACTGGAGAGAAGCCTTTCTCGTGTGATCAGTGTGGGAAGAGTTTTGCACGAAAAGGACACCTTAAGGGTCACATGAAAATTCACACTGGAGAGAAGCCGTATCACTGCCTCTCACAGAAGAAGTGAGAGAAAGCCGGACCATTTCTCCGAGATGCATGCAGTAGCTCTAAAACTAGAACGAAAAAGTAGTTACCGCTATAGTATTCCCTGCACATTATAGAAAAATGTAAGTCAGATCACTGCAGTTACTGTGGAGTAACAGAAAAAGTCGAACATTTATTATTACACTGTGAAGCATATAGAAGAGAAAGAAACCAGCTTGTTAAAAAAAAAAACGAAGAGATATGGAAATCAGTGTCATTTCAGATAAAACTATATTTCAGAATGCACAGAAACCGTTAAAGGTGTATGATTTCCTTCTAAAATATTTGAGATACAGGTTTAATGAACAGGATATATATATATATATATCTATATCTATAGATATATATACAGGGATGTAGGCCTACTGGCCATCGGGAGTACCGTTGTTACAAGATTTTCGGTTTCCGAGATTTTCGGTTTCAGTGGGCGGAGCACACATGAATATTCATGAGTTTCCCGGACATGCGCGTGGAACCAGGTGGAACTGAGAATTTCAGTTCACGCTCCTTGTATCTCAGCAGGTTTGCTATACAAATAAACTTGCCTTGCCTTGCCTTACTCCCGACATCTGAGCTGCTGAAGACCCAGTGGATTATGTTCGTTTTTGAAGGGAATGCGCCCCCGATCTACATAAATGCGTCTATGTTCGCGCAAATCATTCGTGATCCAGCTTCAACTACAGAAGAAGTGTGTAAGGTTTTTTTAACGAATCTTTGCAAATTGCCTTTCCTAACAATGTGCTAATTAGCAAGTTTCACGACCCACGCTTGAGTCAGGAACAACTGCAGCACAGATGTTGGAAACCTTCAGCTTGATGTTTTCATCAGATTGCTCAGGGATTCCGTACAGACAAAGATTACATCTGCGCTGATATCATTCTGTTTCATTCAGTTTTTGCTCAAGCTCAAGAGATCTTGGTATTATTCAGATTCACAGTGGATTTACAGTTTTTCAAAGTCAATCGATTTCTTGAGACCCTCAATACTCCCTGTGTTTTTGGTTGTCATTTTACCGAGATTGTCTGCACTCTCCTTGATTTTAGATGTCAAAGCCACAATTATGTTATCTTGCAATTCTGTCAGCGAAATGTCCCCTCGAGATTTCTTTTGCTGAGGTTTCACAGGCGTCTTGGTTATACACTGACTCGAGGACTGGACTCTCACTCCGAGAGAGATCGGGTGTTGGCTGCATTCATGGTCAGTTATGAAATGTGAGGCAGCTTCAACTCCAGCACCGACAGGAATGCCAATTTCCATTTCTTCCGTAAGGGCATTAGAAGTAGAGCACTTATTTTTCCCTTTGCGCTTCATCGTGCACTCCGCAGCATCCATGTGCAAGAAAACTTAACGGCCGTCAAGTTAGAAAACTTCAATTAAACAAAGCAAAATTATAAGGTCCACAGCATATGTGCAAGAAGACTTAACGGCCATCATGTCGCACTTGGTAAAATCAGGTTCTGCATATCATACATGTTGTATGCTCTTTGTTTCTGCTGTCAGCACTTTGTATGTTGTTTCTCAACATATTGCGTTAAGTATGTAAATTTAATTATATAAATGTATTGCAATGTCCCCACACACCCCTAAACTTTTCACACAGCATTTACTTGTTTTGTTGTTGTTGTTGTTGCTGTTCACATACACTATCATATAAACAGCCACTCAAATAACTTTATTATTATTATTTTATTTATTATTTTGTTTAAATAAATTGTTCTTGCTATCATCTGATAATTTTAATGAGGTGCTGGGCAAAATATGGGATGGAGACTGTATGTACTGTATGTATTAAATTCCATTCCAAACAATTTTATTGGCATGGTTGTTTTTTACTAACCTTTAAACTTTTTTTTTTAAATGGCCAAAGAAACAGTACAAACAGTACAGGAACATGCACAAATGTAATGCATGAAAATAAATCAAAACAATGATAGAGGAAAAAGCAAGGTTTCATAGAATGATAAACCTCACATTTCAGCTTTTAAATCATTGAGTAAGACGCGCATGCGCAGTAAAGCGAGTTACAGCGCTTGCGTTTTAAGACATGCGTTACGTCAAAATGCCTGACGTCACCGCGCTACAATCTGAGCGAGGACACTCTCGCGAGGACACTTGCCAACCGCTATTAAACATAAAAAAAGTTACCGCTAGAGCCATAACACAGCTTTGAGTCTTCTGAGGTGAGATAATTAGTTTATTTATACAATTATAAAGATACAGCTTGTTAATGCAACATTTACAGTGTCATTTCTGTATTGTTTTCATCTGGTACAGCATTATTTGTGCGTCTTTTCTGGCATCTGCTAACTGACATAAACATTTAGCCTAGCAGCAGGGTTGCCAACCATTCTGAATTATCACGGAATTGTCCCGTATTTAAGACACAATTGTGTCCTGTATACGCAGGCATACGCCGTATGACCACCCAAACAATACGAATAACAAACTGAATTGAAAATAATTTATTTTTGGTCACATCATTGTTTGGTTTTTGAACGTTTCAGGTCTTGACGCTACCTTTTTCTCAAGGAGCACATGTGCTCCTAAGTTGAAAAATTTAGGGGAGCAATGCTTTTTTTTTTTTTTAATTATGTGTTTTAGCTTAATAAGGGGATATAAGGAGACGTTTACAAGCACAATTATTTTATTTATCAGAACACAGAAAGTAGCCTACACAAGGTTTTTAAATACTTTTGCTTCAGACTCTTTTTAATAGGCTTATTATGTAATTATTTATAGTCCTATTAAACTGTATGTACATTGTATGTACATTAAGTAACAACAATAGTTGTTGATCTTTTACTAAAGAAAGACTTTATTTATAAAATACACAAAAATATAAAGTAAACACGTTTAAGTAAACAATAGTAAACAAAAGATTAAGTTCAAATGAACTAAAGAACCATTGGTAACACTTTGCAATATGGCGATAGCCGCGGGAGCGTATTTTGAGCTGGGGGGGCTGAGAAATAAAACGGGGGGGTCACATGACAAGAGTGATGCGAGAAGACTGACACTATATGATGGCGGATC